ATCTGGCAGAGCCTTATAACCGGCTAAAATTGATTTTTACAAAATTCTTCAAGACTCAATCCTTACTCACAAGTTCATCCAACGAACCGCGTAGAATGAAGAAGCAGTTTCATCACGAGCTTAGGCTGTACGGAGATGTAAGCAGTCTCGCTGGTTGGGTTCGAGTTCTACCGAGGCTAGTGATGTTTCCACTTGTTCTGTCCATCAAACCCGAACAAGGTTTGCTGTGTGAAGTTCAGTGAAAACCTTACCACCCAATCAGACATGCCATGCAAGTTTGAATCCACGTCCGTGTGTGTGTGTGTGCTGAAGGGGCTGGGTGAGTGAAGTAGTGGTAACTCGGTCAGTTACGGGGTTGAACGGGAAGTTTGGCAACAATCAATCTAACTTCAGAACTGTTGAACGTCTTAGACCCAAAACACTCGTCAACACCATGTCCAACAGCAGAATGAACCGGAGCATCATGATTATCATCAATATTATGATCAAATTGTTGTTTGACACAATAAAGTTTTAGTTTTTCACTGGAATTTGACTAAAGTTCAGCTGGTAGGGCATGCACTGTGCGAAAGCGTAGGCGGCATCAATGCGTGGGTTCGAACCCCACCGAGGCTTCTGAAATTTTCACAAATTTCAACTATTTTGATTGTGAAAACGACGAGAACAGAACTGAGCAAACTTGTTACTGTGATTGAACGTGATCAGTTGTATTATTTAACTGTTGTTGATTCTGAACTGTTGGTTTAGTTAAACAAACAACAGTTTCCAGGGTGATCTGATTATTCATATTAAGGACTGCAAACGTTACAGAAAAGAACAGTTAATTATAACAGATAACTACAATGTTATAAACATTTTCAGGGTAATTTCGACACTTGATCGAGCCACGTGATACGAGTGGTCAATCAAAAGAGTTCACTATTCTATGCTTTGGGTTGTCAACTCATTTTATTAAGCAAACCACGGAGTAGAAAATCGACTTCATTGTTTCTTCATCGAGAAGTCTCCCGCATTACTTGAACCTCTGAGTATAAAGGATGACCGATAAATTCAGCGGATTTTATGCTTCACGAGTTCCGGTTATTATCGATTGAACTGATAAACGTCTCACGGCTAGTACGTTTTTAATCCAGCTTGAATAAGGTTATAAAAAAGGCTATCGAGTAAGATCAAATATGTGTGTGATCACCTATTCATCTGAATTATCACTTTCCATTGTTTTCTCCAATAGGGCGATTCTGAAATGTTTCTGTTTATCGAGTACTTCCATCTTTTTTAATATGCAATTTTGAATTGCCGGTTTTCAGAATCGATCCGTGTAAACTTCGGGTCTTACGTGGTTTTTGTAACCCCAGTTACTCTGTTGTGTTCTAGCTCAGTTGACCATTCTTCCCTGATATAAGAAACCTGATTAAAAATTGGTCTGTGGTATTAAAAATCATGATTGAATTGACAGTGTTAACATCCTTTAAAGATCATTTAATGAAGGTGATAACATCGTTAGTTGAACGTTTTCGGCCAAGCTGAATCACATCTCGATGATTGTTGCTCTCTGCTTGTTTGACCAGCTTGTTTACCCACATTCGTGTTGCACATTCTCCCCCTTCCACACGAAGACTTGATACACTTCTTGTGAAATAAACACAAGAGAACAGATACCACATTAAACTGAACATTGTTTGATAGAGCTTGCGCGCTATATGTCGACAGAACTCGATCAAATTACCACTTCATGTGATTTTATTCTCCATCAAACTGGCAGTTCGTGACGGGCTTCTATCGCTCCATATCTATACCAAATCTGCAGATTCACTATAGCTAGGTTGTTGAATGCAGCGCGTAAATTGAACTGAAATTATACAGTATGTTCCTTGTCCGTTAGATGAGTCAGTTAACCAGAACCTTATTCATCATGTCTGGTGTAGTCAACCAACGACCAAATGTCCATTAATGAAATGTATAGCGATACTTTATGCGTACACCAGTCCGGTTCGTAAATCTAATTCGTACTAAGTTGCCCTGCGAGGTGATTGAACGCACTTATTCTGCAGTGATGAATAAATATAACCTTCTTGCCAGGGGCTGAATCAATTTTGTTAACAGACGGAATTCATTTGGTTTATTTTACTCTCTCTCTCCTATGTTGCTCTCAATGCTCTCAGATTCAGAATTACCGGAGTTTATTTGAACAAAGTACATGAATTAAGGCAATGCGACTGGTGCAGATTGTTGTGAATAAATTCAAGCGAACTAATGTTTTTACTTCTTGAAAAACTGAACTATTCCCACGCCTTTAGTTGATTTCGTTTTAAAACCAATTCACTATTTGCTATCCCGAAAATTGTCCTCCATAGCATATGATCACATAACTGACCCTGTAAGTTAGGATGACCATGCATGTTTTCAACAAAACCCCCACGTTCCTGTAAACAAAACCAGCGTTGCCTCGTGCCTTCCGTGTTTTGAAGGTCACGTGCATAAAAAACAAAGAAATCCCCGAAATACTAAACAACATTATTTTACGGGACTAGGTTTTACTCAAACACTTTTGCTAATATACATTCAAGGTCAACCATTTGTTCAATATTTCTAAATGTTACTCCATGACATCCGTCTTTAGGTGCGTAATTAGTTAATTGACCGATGAAAGCACGCTTNCGATCATCTCTGTCTTACCTGTTATTACACTGTCTTCCTTCTACAGTATTAACCTTGGACTTCCGTTATATCCTTGATAGGGAAGTCACCTGCATGTCTCACAGCAGCACTCATTTTGCTTACTGTTGAATCTACAAAACTGGGTTGAATTTTGTTTAAAGCCGATCATTCCGCTATTGTTCAGAGATTTCCCGTAATTCGGGGAGACCGCATCACCATAGATCGATCAAGCGTTTGCTTCGCAATTTCCTGGTTTTTCCTTTCAATCTGGCTGTAATTGGTCCTGACGCATGATGGAAATCTCGTGTATACTCTCTTCCGTTTGAGCTGTGTGACAAATAAACCCCTGATATTGCTTATTCGATTTTGTTTACTATGCCCCTGGAATTTCTGCTCTCATTTCATTCATCCCGATTTACCTACCCAAGATTTTGTGTTAATAAAACAATCGCTAGTGATATTTTAAAACACGACGTGTTACAATACAATGATTTCTATGAAGTTTATATCGAATCATCGTTTTCTGTCTGTCATTGACTGAGTAAACGAACAGTCATTATGATGCATCACACGCTCGTTGGGCTTTCTGTTTCACACTCCACCTTCACTAAAATTGAGGTTTTACTCATTTACTCACTTACGTCAACTTACCGTCATTTAGCTGTACCATATCTTTCTGCAGTGATAACATAGAATAAAGAGTTTTTATTAAGTTAAAAACAGAGTTTATTAGTCTAAAGTATCTTCCATCATTCGAAATGTGTTTTCCGTGATAGCATTCGGGAAATTCACTCTCGATTCTCCGCATGCATAATGCCCGAGAACATTTAAAGTAACAAATTTTTTATTAATTTTTCCGGGTACATTGATCGCTGTATTGCACAGAACATGTTATAAAAATTGTTACACAACCAAACTGCTGATTCGCGAATAAAACTGACTTAATTTGAATGGACCTGTGAATATTATACATGCGTCTGTAAGGGGTCATTAGATGTTTTTAACGTCAGTCCAGAGCAAAACAACCGAATTTCAAGAAGCAAAACCTCCGGTAGTCGTGGTGATTAGGCCAACTTCTTGGCCTACAATTTATCACTCAAAGACTCCCGAAAATGCACATCTAATTTTGTTCACCTTTCAACAATGCTGTTTACAGTTCGTCAGCTTTGTCAAAAGACGTGTGTTCGTCAAATACAAAAATTCCTCGAACATAATTCCTCAAACATTTTCAGTTGGATTTAATTCAGGTCTGTGGAATGAGTGGTCCGGAATCCGATTGTTGTTTCAGAGCAACCGAGTCTTCGTTATGTTTACAGCTTAAATGGATGCATTGCTCTACTGAAAAATGAACTCTTTGGTTCTGTTCTTGGAGAAAATAAAAAGAATGATTTTTGACCTTCCTGACGTGTGCTTCCATCATCACTTTTCGGTTCAGTAGAGGTAACGAACTGTGTTTCCCGAAACGCAGATGGTTCTCCATACGATAATTAATCCTCCATTGAAAATTCGCGTGTATTCGTTCTTTTCTCGTTACGTCATCCCAGTAATATGCCAAGCTATCCGGAACGTCCAAATTGAACTTATTCACACCTCTGAATAGTACGTTCTCCCACTCATAGTTCCAAGCCGTCTGTTCTTTTATCCAATGAGCTGCATACTCATCAATGTCAACCAGGATCTTTCCCATCCTAATATATTCCAAATGTCGAGTGGTTTGGAGAACTTTCTGTGTTCACTCGAAGTACTAATCTACTTTAAATTGAGACGCTTGCGATCCAACTGAAAACTACTCTCAACAGTCTTCTGTTGGCTTTATGAGATATATTTTTTTGTCATACCGTTCTCCTTCCTGATACCGTACTGGAACAAGTTAGTCAGAGTGGCTTTCACTGCAGTATTGAAATGGTTCGCCCTTGTTGGAATATATCTGATATTAATTTGAACTGACTATCCTTCAGACCTCATCCTGACGTACCTTACTTGGTTCACCTAGTCAACTAAACGCCTCGGAAGCACTAGATTAAATTTTCGTTCTCTTTAGAGCTCATGATTACTGCATATCCACCTTGACGTCCGGGATTTGAACTCCAGACCTATCCATTGGAAAGTGTGTGTGGTATCACTGTGCCAATCACCTCAAGCCGGAATTCGCCCGTTCGCTAATGCCGACAACGTCAGACCACGTTAAATCGTTCAAGATTTCAACGTTTTAGTTAAAAAGGGACCGGAGATAAGGGTCGCATTCATGACTTAGTTATGTATGCCGAAATCCTCAGATAGTTCAAACGGTTTACTATCTTTTATGTTTATTTTATATCGTTTTCTTTTAATCTGTATCACAGATCCTAACTGCTCCGGATAGTCAACCGGGTGATGGTTTCGGTGTTGGTCTCGCACGCGGAATCGATATCGATTCGGATGGATGGCCCGAATTATTCGTCACCTCGCTCCAATCTAATCGCGCGCCCCACGTTTATACTATGCCCCGTCGACTTCGAGCCCAGTGTCATATCAGTGTGCCACCGACTTACAGTATGACTCCGTTCCGTGCCGGGAGTAAAATCCCAGTCACAATCATGGTCCGATTATTTGATCCTCACCGGAACAATTGGGTGCCAATCTCTCCAGGAGTATCATCAACAAGCGCGCGGTTGCATCAAATCAATCCCGATCTGATATGGCAAGAACGATTGGTGAATCGTACAAACAGCTCGTACACTGAACGAGATGGGAAAGACGTGGACAGCTTTTTCGCCTCTCTGGTTGACGGAGACTTAGATCTAACGAAACCACGTTTCTCTCTGGCCGGAGGCCAGATTTCTTCGGTCTCATTGAGCAGTGATGCCAGCCGAATGTATGTGCGTGCCGAACTGCAAGCGCAATACGGGGCTGAGGCTATGGACTTGTCTGCAATTCCGTTGCGTGTGGGGTATCGATCGTACTTGAATGCAGAGGTCTGTCCCACATTACACGCAGTCAATCAGCTCTGTATTAAGAGTGAACAACCTCTGATTGATTGGTCAGCGTGCACCGGGGAGATCGAACTGGATCGACATATTTGTGTACCGGATCCGGAATGTTTAGCCGATATAACTCTGGAAAACGTGCAGTTATCCGCGGACGAAGATGCTACCAAGCTGGAGTTCGGCAATCCAAAAACGCGACAGAAACTGATACAGTTTCGACTGATCAATCGGGGCCCAACAAAATCGACCGGCGTCCGTATACAATTACGTGCAACCGGAAGATGGAGTTCAGAAAGACCTGTCGGTGTGCAGCTCGCAATCACGCAAGTCTCAGTGGACACACAGAACAATCAGGGTACAACGAAAAACAAGATATGGTCAGTGAATATTGCAGAAGACGGTTCCGCAGCTCTAATCTCTTCCAAGTCTCACCATTGGATTTATCCAAATGAGTTTATCCAGTTTAATGTATCTCTGTTTGCCGAAGGTCTCCGGGAGACAGTGGAGTCCTTGCCGCAACAATGGGAGATGGACATCGGGAATCGAAGCTATGTGAAACCGGGTCTGGTGGCTCGAGTAACTTCGGCCGTANCGAATTTCTCGTACAGTACAACTTGACCTACAGACCACGAGCACAGATCAGTGCCGGTGCTCAACCATCCACTATTATTGATCATAGAAAGACGGCTACAGTTACCGGAGAAAGTAAGTTGTTATTTTTCGTTGATCATTTAAAATTGAACGTTTTCTTTACAAATGCTTGGACTAATGAAGTGTGCCCAAGAAATACTATTTCTTTTGATCCCTTGAATCGTTTTTTGATGCATTCGATAAAAGTTAAGGCATTCTGTTTGCACTGGTTGGTAAAGGAGTGCGGTAAGCAAATAAACGTTATCAAATAAAGCTGTTTGATATCGTTTGAGGGTTTCTCAAGTAAACCACGTGTAAATTATCTATGAAAAAAGTAAGTTAACAATTCAACAGTACGTCACAGGCAGGCTAAAATCTTCACAGTAATTAGAATGATTGTTTTGCATTTTGCGAACGATCTGTGTATCTTAATCGGTTTTTTGTCACAAGAATAGCGGCGTTGAACTGATATTACGCAGCATGAAGTTGAAAGATGAAATGGAATTTAGACACCTGTTGTAGATTTATGCTGCGTTACACGATGCAATGGTGTGTTCCGCCCACCGAATAGCAGGCTGGTTTCCATTTCAGATTTGATTTCCATATCAAATGGTTTATCATATACTTTGTATGTTTTCTGCAAATCCTTTTGTCAGAGTCGACCGAAAGTACTAACCATGACTATCAAATTCTGATCAGGGCGCTTCAGGCGAGGGAGCAATCGATGTTTTCAATGACCCTAACAAGAGAAATCTTTTGAGTCTTCTTCAGCAGCAAGCAGTTAGTCTTTCTTTTATCTGTCATCACAAGGCGTAAACCTTCGAGATATACACATAAAATTTCTTCAGATTCTGTATCGCTTATGTCAGACATTCACAATCTTGTGCATCTGAGAGAAGCATCACAAAATTTCCTCCACTTTTTACTCGTTCAGGTGTTGCGCTGTTGCGCATTGCAGATCCCAATTGGATCATCACCTTTATGCATTAACCGCAGTCGTTACTGCTCTGTTTACCACATTGCATACGAACCCTACTACATTGGAATTATTGCACCCCCTTTGCGAGAATCTGGTCATTGAAATCCGTCTGGTATGGAGTGCACCGATGGATCATTACCGCGAATTCGACATAGCAACTGGTCCATGTGCGATGCCATCGTATGATAAGCCAATATGACCTAGGCCAATACGACGCCATGGTGACAATAGTTGTGATCGCGCGCAGAGGTCACAGAGGTCGATTGAGTCAGCAGTCGTCAGCATTGATCACGGATAGTGTGGCAGAAAAGACTATTCTGTATTGAGACCAAATAACTTTCGTGAAACGAAATACAAGCGGGTCGAAAACGGATCGAAAACAACGAAACCACGAGAATGCTTTCGGAGAAAAGCAAGTACATATAGATGCGCTTGTCATGCAACTGATTGAGTTATGCACTCATGATGGACACGGAACCTATGTTGGATGTTTGTGGTTGCAACCATATATACAGTAATGTAAATGGTTTCCTGGGCCCAATACACTATCTCTAAAAAGGCCACAAACTGATTGATGCGTATATTGTGGGCTGAAGAACACATGATTTGGTAAAAAAATGATCTTTTATAATTTAAGATGAATGAATTTCAGCTAAGATGAGCCCAACGCTTAGCATCATTTGTGGAAAGGACAGTAATTATGAAAGCGAAGAGACGATAAAATTTCAACAATGGTCTTTTCAATAAATCGCTGAAGTTACTACGCGATACTACCCCGTGTGCAAGATTTCTGATGGCATAACCGCACTTTGGAACGATATCTTCTGTTGTTATTGATGATAACTGGTCATATTTTGTTATTGAGGCATTACGAGGGGGAACCGGAGGAACGTGTCATTAGAGACTGGATCAGCATTGACAAAAATAAGCTTTATTATATGATACAGTTGTATGGATCTTTTGAAACGGAATGGTACAGGCATCCTATACAATAGATGGGTTCAAATGACCAGTATATAACGAGTACTTTGGTTTTGCCAAAGCGTAATTAGTGGCTTTTGTGACATTTTGTTGGAGCAAAAAACGTAGTTCAATAAAGTTTTTTATTTCCGCTAATCCGATTAAATATTTTGATGTAACTTCTAAAAAGTGGCAGTACGATTGTGGAGACGCGAGAAATTATGGGTTGCAATCGTTTGTCTGAGGGGTTTATTGCGGTCTATGTCATCCTTGCAAGTTTTCGGCAATTGGTGCACATGGGTCTAAGGCCGTACCGTTGTGGACCGTAGTCCAACATTGAGTGGTTTAATGCCAGACCAACGCATATTCTGTTCATGGAAAAGAAAACAGAAGGACAGCCTGCATCTCCCAATTCGTAACACACACACACACACACACACACACACAAATCATCATCATGAGTAATCCACTCCAATCCATAGGGGCAAACACGAACACAGATAATGGGTTCTGGGGTCAGAGTTGTGTGTGTGTGTCTGTCTGTGTGTGTGTGTATGTGTGTGCGGAAAGGGTCCTAGAAGTAGTGAAGATACGCATGATCGGGATGCAAAGTCTGACGGATCTCACCGACTGGTTCACACATCCACGTGATTGACGTCAACTGACAAAACGTGTTGAGGAAATCAAGGCCTGAAATGGAGAGATCAACAGATTATGGTCTTGGTTCATCGAAGACATCACACTGTACAAACAACATTAATAACTTAGTCACATAAAAGCCAAATAGTATCAGGGGTAGGCGGAAGTCGAAAGATGGAATACACAACCCGACCAGAGTTCCCGAACGCATACACCGAGGCAACCCAGATCATTTAATAAATGAAAGAAGATAGGGTTGTATGCGTACATTTAAACAGCCACGTCCACCGCAGAAGAAGTTGCAGATCAAAGCGTTATCGGGGATAAAAATCAACAGAAAACAATGATTAATTAATTTCTACCTCGTAAAGAGATGGAAGTATTGTTATGTATGTGGTTCATGTTTCAAATTTCCTTGGAATTCTGTGAGAACCCTGTCAGAGTGGTTTTTATTCAGTCGTGAATAACAAACTTGAGGAGAGAACCCGTAACTGCTGATTCCTATAGTGAATCCTAAATCACTTCTCTACATCTGTACATGTGCTTACCACAGATTATGTGATCATTAGTGTATAGTTAACACTTTTGTCAACGACATTACCCATTAGATGTCATCGTCAATGCCAGTTTAAAACATCCGCGTTTCAACGGAGGAATTCGTCGTGCATAGAGCAAAACGAAGCGTGAGAGCTGATGGGACCCAAGCGGGCCGAAACGACTGTACAGTGCTTCCTAGCTTTTCATTTCACGCTTCATTTGCTGTATACACGATGAATTCCTTCAATGAAATTGGATCAAATACTCCATTACCCACATTCACACAACACAACTGAGGATGATAATTGTAATTTTTCCTCGGATTTGTTCGCTAAAGGCAGCCACTGAGACGAGTTAGATATTGAATATCAGTCTATAGATTTAGGAGGTTCTTTTTTGCGATGGTCTGTTGACGAATGAGCACAATCATAATCTGAATCGGTACGGGAGCCAGGAGGATTCCATTTTGACACTGGTAGGCAATTTCGCATTTTTTTCACTAGTACATTTCGAACAACCTTTTGGCAACAAGGGAACCTCCACAAGGCAGATCTTTTATTATCTGTCATCTACACACCGACAGTTTTGTTGCATTCGTTCTTTCAGAGGATATTAACATTTCATTATTCAATCCTTGGTAGAATTCTACTTATCCAAAACCCTCGTATGCCGTTTGAGCAATTGTGGACTGCATTCCTGAAAATTAAACGATTGAAGATTTATCGTATCCGTAAAAAACATACAACAACGGTCTTTGTTGATTGGTTGGAAATGGGCCCTTCGTTTATGCCAAATCGAGCTCACTCGTTCAAAATATGTTTCGAAAGATCCAGTTTAATAACAGATATGGAAATAAGATGCATTATAACAATGGACACACTTTGAACTCTCTGTTAATGTTTACGAGAAGGAGGACAACAGAGCTAGGTTTCACGATTCATGCCAAGGCAGGATTCACTGAATGGTGGAACGTTATAAATCACGGGCTCCTACCGTTTTGTACCACTTGAATAGCGGCTAACTGAACCCCGACTGGAATTGTGGAGCCTAGCTCTGTTAATTTCTCTCTTCGATTTTCTCTCGGGGAATATGTGCTTAGCTCTGTTCAGCCTTTCATTGATTTATCTGATGAGAAACACTTGTACCAAACTAAAAAACTAATGCAAATCCATCTGCGAATAACTCGTGAGAATAGGTTGAATTGGCGTCGGAGAGTGTTTGGGGCATCCCAAATGTTCAACCAAAACTAATTATAATTAGTAGCATATAAAATTCACTATGAAATGATAAATTATCCTTTGGGGGGTGTACGCATGTTCTATAGACACTAACCATCCAGAGTTGATCGATAATAAAACGTGTTTTACAAAATGACAAACTCTAGGCACTGTCGTTGCCCTTATACCGGAACTGAACATTTGAATAACCGTTCAGTTTATGTGGCCACCTGATACAGACAGGATCTACAGCACATCAATCTCATCGAAATCTTTCAACCCCTGTCAACAAACAACGTCCATAATTGATTTCACATTATCCTATGTTTACTTACGTAGTCGCCTGTTATGGATTTGGTTCTATTATGAAACGCTCTTATTTTGCGACTCACCGTTCACTTGGGCCCACGTTTTGGTACCAAATGTACTTGTTGTGGGGAACTGGTATGTGATATCCAGTTTGTATACTTCCGTCTGTGCTCTGGTAAACAAGCAAGACCCTTATGTCTCGGAATGTCTGATGGCAATAATCGTTTCCATTTGTATGAGTGGGTTTTTGTCTGATTATTCCAATCACCAATTGTATCTTTACTGAGATAAAGTTAAGTAGTTGAGTTACATTGGCAAATATATCTATCTTTTAGAAACATACATGATATTCGGCAATTTTAAATCGGAAGACTTATCTGAGAGATACACCTCAGGTTTTTCGATGGATCGGTATGTAGGATATGAAATCATAA